GCCAAAAAGGGGGGATTCTTACTTGATTCAGGGACTTTAAAAACTCCCTGGCTGCTGCTCCCATAGTGTGTTCTGAACTCCTCAAGGGACCCAGGGATCAGGGCTGCAGGGAGCTGTGGAAAGGGGGATTTAACAGTGCCATTGCAATCCTTCCAGGTCTGGCCCTGTTTTTTTACCTATTTTCTTTTTAAGAAAAATCTAGAACATTATAAAATCCTACCATCAGACTATATTTTTAAACTGAATTCCAAATTTAGCTAATGTCAGAATTAAAGTTCATTTAATTAAGCCTTGTTTTGCATCTGCAGTATGATAGTTTTTACCTGTGTAACTGTGTGCACTGCTTTTTACCAAGATTCTTGATTCATTCTGTGTCTGGGATGGGTTGGGGCACAGGGAATAATACAGCTAGTCATTGTTTTTTATCCCCATTGTTCAATGATTGTTCCCTCCTCTAATGCAAAACCCCAATGAATTATGTAGGTCACGAGACTCCCTTATAATGAAAAGAAGTATAAGGTTACCTAAATATCAAGCTCACCATCTACCTTCTATATAATTACTAAATTTGATTTAAAAGCATTTGTAGACTGATGGAAATTCTCTGCCTAGTAAATTAATCTTCCAATTTTCCAGTCAAATTTTAGGGATGTGTTCTCTTATTTGGGGTGCAAAACTCCTTCTGACCTCAAAAGTAGATTGTATGCATGCACTGAGGAAAGAAGACTCCTAAAGTTACAATGATCGTGATTATACTAGGCTTCCACTGAAGCCCAGAAATAAATCTGTCTGTCTCATCAAGCTACAATAGCCAATTTTGGCACATACACGAGATCTTGTGGGGACTGGGTTTTGGAGAAGGGTCAACACAGAACATTCAACAGCAGCGGAAAACATTCTATAGAGGATATTATTGCTCCCGATGCTACCAACATTTTGTTGAGCCTGATGCTCAGTATCTAATAAACCATCTGTTCCACACTGTTTACAGAATTGGTTACAGAACTCTCTGTGCAGAATTGCAAAAGGTCTACCTTCTAGATTGAAAAGATTCTAAAGCCCAGTCTACTACACATGCAGTTGTAAAAAAATTATCTAAAATTTGTGATTCATTAAATCTTTGTAGTTGCATGTTAGATCATTCTTATATTTGTTTTAAACTTGGCTAAGATGATACAGAACAATACTAGTGTTCACCAGTTCAACTAAAATCAGTTTTTAAACTGAATTAAGTAAACTTATGCTACCTCTTTATCTAGGAAGTTTCACCTAGTGCCATCCACAGTTGTAGCAAAAAGGATTTGCTCCTTTAAAATAAGTGATAGCTATTTCCAAAATATGGTTCCTATAACACACTGTACAGGAAACTGAACAGTTCTAGGTAGAATTTATTTGGGTCATGGCCCTATCCTAAGCAAGTGCGGGGCGGGGGGGGAGACCAAGATAATGTTAAGATCTTCTGAAAAAGGTTTTGAAGACTTGTTTGTTCAAGCTAATTTAGTTCCTGGTGTTTAAATAGATAGCTGTTTTGAGGGTTTTCTTTTTCTTTTTTACTTCTGAAGCAGTTTTATCTTATCTGCCTCAGCAGAAGTTGTTCAATGTGTTAATGGAAATCTGGAGTTGTGTATTAATGGCTGGTAAATCAGTTGACATTTTAATGCCCTTTTCTGAACACACTGAGATATCAGCTGCTTGAGGTTCATTTTTAACAGCTTTGTCTCCCTGCTACTTTATCAACTACAAAGCAGAAATTTTCTATCTGTGAAAAATGGAAGAATGTACCACTACTGTATTGCAGACAAATGAGTAAGAAATGTTCATAGCAAGCTGCTCAAATTTTTTTCCTACCAAGACCTTTAAAACAGAAAACAACCCATAAATTCATTTATCAGACTTAAAATATAACTTGATTTACAGACTTGAAATATAACTTGATTTTTTGCAGTCAAGTCTAATGGAAGGAATAGGGCTATTTTGCAGAGAATGTACTAATCAACAGGAGTAAGAGTGACAGAATATTAAGGCACAATTATGACCTACATTATGTAAGTGATGCAAGAAGGTTTAAGACACCTCTTCCTTCCATCACTGAGCACCTGGGCAGAAAAAGGGCTGGAGAAGGGTCTAATATTACCTAGGATACTAGGTTGGGATCCAACCAATGCATTATAAGAAATGCATTTTGAGTTTTTATTATTTCATAATATCCTCAAACAAGCTGAGGGTACCACTAGGCAGCATATCTAGTGAGGAGGAGATTAATACAGTTCTTTTGGGAATGTGTTGCCACTGCCCAACCAGCTGTGTGAGCCATTCTACTTTAGTTAGACAGTGGTTCAGACCACTTCAGTCTCACCAACCTAAAAGTATACACATCTAAAAGTAATTTCATAGACATTCAGGCTGGAAGGGACCCTGGAGGATTGTCGAGTCCAGCCCCCTGCCCAGGGGCAGGAAGTCAGCA